GAGGGGTCACGAGCCTGCGTAAATGGGAGGTTTGCGTCAGGAAGGGCATCTTGTGTAAAATCTGTGCCAAATCAAGTGTGGATTCATTTTGTCCGCCCTCAGGGCAAGGGAGTAGCTCAAACTATGTTAGTGTTTCTCCAGTGTTTTCTATGAAAGCTGAAGTGATAGAGGCGTTTTGGACCATTCCTCCCTGGGCTGTATCACATTTGATGATACAGCCACTCAGGTATAACTGCTGGAAATGGTGTCTGCTACTTGCAAAGGCTATGTTATAGACAGAAGTAGAAATTAAAAGGAGGGAAGCAGCATGGTTTACACCAACTCTATGGATGCTTCAACCACCGAAAAAAATTCTCAAAATATCTTACTTTCAATACAATAAACTGAAGATTTTGAATTATTGGCGGCAAAAAAAAATCTTTTTCCAGTGGCAGAAACAAGCTCCCACACCAACCTTCTTTCAGTACAAACAGCATAGAAAGGGCTCTGGTACATTGCAACCATGCTTCCAGTACCATCTCCAAAACCTGGAAAACCTGCTCCCGAGTTGTTCTTGGAAGAGTTACTGGGACAAGGATGAGAAAGTCCAGGCTGAGGCTGAACACACCACGTGTACTCGACAGTATCTTCAATTCGAATATATGAAAAGTAAGAGTGAGTGATACGGAAATCCTGACAAATCCCATTTTGTTTAAACTGTATATGCTGGAATTTTATTGCAAGTAATTGCTGCTTTACTTTCCCTCACATGCTCTATTTTGGTTGGTTGTTTTTTAAGCAATTCTATTCACTCTGTAGCAAGTATATGAATTACTTTGTGTAGTAGCCCTAATTTTGACTGGGTTGGTGTTTGGAACATGGCTAAACAATCATCAACTACCTTCATTTTTATACACAGGACATATGTGACTCCACAAAGACTTAAAGCTGGCCCAAATTGTACCCTTTGCATCTTAGATTCCTGGAGTGTCCCTGTTTCTTTTTTAAATGACTTAATAAATTAAAAAATTAATAAATTAAAACTACATGAGGCTCAGAAACACTTGATGGTTGACAGTCACAAGCCAGAAACTTCTGTTGCTCATCTTGAACTGTCCACAGCCAAAGGTGTGGAGGATCTTAAGTCTTTATTTTTATCTCATTTATCGCATGTTCTCCTTAAATTGCTTAAATTGCTGGCTGTCTGAGTGGTGTCCCAGAAACGATGTGGGCTTCATAGCTAATTGGCAAACCTTCTGGAGGAAACCTGGACTTGTTAGGAGAGACGGCATCCATCCCACTTTGGATGGAGCAGCTCTCATTTCTAGAAATATGGACAAATTTATTAAACCCCCCAAAATATGACTATCCAGAGTTGGGACCAGGAAGCAGAGTTGCAGTCTTACACGCCTCTCTGCAGCTTCTCTCCTCCTGCTACCACCCCAAAAACCATCTCCATAGAGACTGTGTCAGCTCCCAAACAGACAAAAACAAACTAAAAACCAGCAACAAACAACTTAAACATAAACAATTACAAAGAAAGAACAATACAGTATCCACATCTGAACCAAAGAGTAAAACAGTGAAATGTGGATTATTAAATATTAGTCTCTCTCCTCCAAGTCTCTGTTAGTACATGACTTAATAATTGATCAACAAATTGATTTACTCTGCCTTACAGAAACCTGGTTGCAGCAGGATGATTATGTTAGTTTAAATGAATCAACACCCCCGAGTCATTCTAACTACCAGAAATCTCGAAGCACAGGCCGAGGGGGCCTATTAATTAATGAAAGACCAAGACAGACTTTTAATTCATTTGAAAGCCTGATGCTTAACATTGTCCACCCCAGCTGTGAAACTCAGAAACCAGTCTTACTTGTTATCATCTATCGTCCACCTGGGCCTTACACAGAGTTTCTGTCTGATTTCTCAGACTTTATATCTAATTTAGTTCTGAGCTCAGATAAAATAATTATTGTGGGTGATTTTAACATCCATGTAGATGCTAAAAATGACAGCCTCAACATGGCATTTAATCTGTTATTAGACTCAATTGGTTTCACTCAAAATGTAAAAGAACCCACCCACCACTTTAATCACACTCTAGATCTTGTTTTAACATATGGCATAGAAACTGAACATTTAACAGTGTTTCCTGAAAACCCTCTGCTGTCTGATCATTTCCTGATAACATTGACATTTACAATAATTGATTACACAGCAGTGGAGAGTAGACTTTATCACAGTAGATGTCTTTCTGAAAGCGCTGTAACTAAGTTTAAGAATATAATCCACCCACTGTTATCATCTTCAATGCCCTGTACCAACATAGAGCAGAGCAGCTATCTGAACGCTACCCCAACAGAGTTCGATTATCTTGTTAATAATTTCACCTCCTCACTACGTACGACTCTGGATACTGTAGCTCCTGTGAAAACTAAGGTCTCTAATCAGAAGTACCTGACTCTGTGGTATAATTCTCAAACACGTACCCTAAAGCAGATGACTCGTAAGCTGGAGAGGAAATGGCGTGTCACAAATTTAGAGGATCATCATTTAGCCTGGAGAAATAGTTTGCTGCTTTATAAGAAAGCCCTCCGCAAAGCCAGAACATCTTACTATTCATCACTGATTGAAGAAAATAAGAACAACCCCAGGTTTCTCTTCAGCTCTGTAGCCAGGCTGACAAAAAGTCAGACCTCTTTTGACCCAACCATCCCTTTAACGTTAACTAGTAATGACTTCATGAACTTCTTCACAAATAAAATTTTTATCATTAGAGAAAAAATTACCAATAATCATCCCACAGATGTAACATTATCTACAGCTACTCTTAGTACCATTGATGTTAAGTTAGACTCTTTTTCTCTAATTGATCTTTCTGAGTTAACTTCAATAATTACTTCCTCCAAGCCTCCGTGTCTTTTAGACCCCATTCCTACAAAACTGCTCAAAGAAGTCCTGCCATTAATTAATTCTTCGATCTTAAATATGATCAACCTATCTCTAATAATTGGCTATGTACCACAGGCCTTCAAGCTGGCTGTAGTTAAACCTTTACTCAAAAAGCCAATCTCTAGCTTAGCTTAGCTAATTATAGGCCAATCTCCAACCTTCCTTTCATATCAAAAATCCTTGAAAGAGTAGTTGTCAAACAGCTAACAGATCATCTGCAGAGGAATGGTTTATTTTACGAGTTTCAGTCAGGTTTCAAGGCTCATCACAGCACAGAAACAGCTTTAGTGAAGGTTACAAATGATCTTCTTATGGCCTCTGACAGTGGACTCATCTCTGTGCTTGTCCTGCTAGACCTCAGTGCAGCATTCGGTACTGTCGACCATAATATCCTATTAGAGCGATTAGAACATGCTGTAGGTATTACAGGTACTGCGCTGCAGTGGTTTGTATCATATCTATCTAATAGACTCCAGTTTGTGCATGTAAATGGAGAGTCCTCTTCACACACTGAGGTTAATTATGGAGTTCCACAGGGTTCAGTGCTAGGACCAATTCTGTTTACATTATACATGCTTCCCTTAGGCAGCATCATTAGAAGACATAGCATACATTTTCACTGCTATGAAGATGACACCCAGCTCTATCTGTCCATGAAGCCAGATAACACACACCAATTAGTTAAACTGCAGGAATGTCTTAAAGACATAAAGACCTGGATGGCCGCTAACTTTCTGCTTCTTAATTCAGATCAAACTGAGGTTATTGTACTCGGCCCTGAAAAGCCTAGAAATATGGTATCTAACCAGATTCTTACTCTGGATGGCATTACCTTGGCCTCCAGTAACACTGTGAGGAACCTTGGAGTCATTTTTGACCAGGACATGTCTTTCAATGCACATATTAAACAAATATGTAAGACTGCTTTCTTCCATTTGTGCAACATCTCTAAAATTAGAAATATCCTGTCTCAGAGTGACGCTGAAAAACTAGTTCATGCATTTATTACTTCCAGGCTGGACTACTGTAATTCATTATTATCAGGATGTCCAAAAAACTCACTGAAAAGCCTTCAGCTAATCCAAAATGCTGCAGCAAGAGTCCTGACAGGGACTAGAAAGAGAGAGCATATTTCTCCTATTTTGGTTTCCTAATTGGCTTCCTGTTAAATCCAGAATTGAATTCAAAATCCTGCTCCTCACATACAAGGTCTTAAATAATCAGGCCCCATCTTATCTTAATGACCTTGTAGTACCATATCACCCTATTAGAGCACTTCGCTCTCACTCTGCAGGCCTACTTGTTGTTCCTAGAGTATTTAAAAGTAGAATGGGAGGCAGAGCCTTCAGTTTTCAGGCCCCTCTTCTGTGGAACCAGCTTCCAGTTTGGATTCGGGAGACAGACACTATCTCTACTTTTAAGATTAGGCTTAAAACTTTCCTTTTTGCTAAAGCATATAGTTAGGGCTGGACCAGGTGACCCTGAATCCTCCCTTAGTTATGCTGCAATAGACTTAGGCTGCCAGGGGATTCCCATGACGCATTGAGTTTTTCCTTTCCAGTCACCTTTCTCACTCACTATGTATTAATAGACCTCCCTGCATTGAATCATATTTGTTATTAACCTCTGTCTCTCTTCCACAGTATGTCTTTTATCCTGTCTTCCTTCTCTCACCCAAACCGGTCGCAGCAGATGGCCGCCCCTCCCTGAGCCTGGTTCTGCCGGAGGTTTCTTCCTGTTAAAAGGGAGTTTTTCCTTCCCACTGTCGCCAAAGTGCTTGCTCATAGGGGGTCATATGATTGTTGGGTTTTTCTCTGTATCTATGAAGTGCCTTGAGGCGACTTATGTTGTGATTTGGCGCTATATAAATAAAATTGAATTGAATCTCTGGCAGTTCATCTACCTTTCTTCCTTCATTTCTTTCCTCTTGCCTCCTTCGGGACCTATTTTTTTTTTTCCTTTCTCTGGTCATCATTCGTACCTTTGCAGATTATATATTTAACAAAAGACATTACAATTCTGATTGGAAAAAGGAAAAATAAAAATCACTCACACACACTAGATATGATTCTCATAAAATCTTTAATGGAGGTGATAACATGCAAAAAAAAAAAAAAAAGAAGAAGAATAAAATGAATTATTTAGGAACGCTACTATAAAAAGAAACGAGAGGCCTTTTTAGCAATGCACCCGTTGGTGACCATCGCACCTTCTTAATAACTGAGCCATACAGGTAACAACTGAGATGTGACAATGTGCTGGAGGATAAACAGGGAAGCATCCCCAGTGTGGGAAAAGTGGCTGTTAGTTTTGTCCCCATTCCCAACATTTCAGGATCCATGTAACTGGCGCGTCGCCACCGGAAGGCATTCATGAGTTTGTTGCCGGGGTGCAGTGAGAGTTTGTGCTCTGTCGGCATCTAGAAATGTGATGCAGCATTTATTCAAGACTGTGTGAAGCTACATAACAAAGAACAGTTAGCAGAAGAAAAACCGTTACCAAGCATCCTTATTCGAGACAGCCACCATTGGGAAAATACTGATACCTGCCATGAAATGATTGCTGGCATTAAAGTCATTCATTTCATGGGTTACTTCTTGAATTTAAGATCAAACCATTAATTCTGTTAAAATGTTCATTTAGAAAGCCATGTTTTACAAAATAATGAGCATGCTGGTGCGAAATTATGTTGACCTCTTTAAACATTACAGAAAAAAAAAAACTTGATACATGTATTAGAGGATATGCATACCTTAAAAAAATGCAAAAGTAAAAAGAATTAAAAAAAAAAAATACTGTGAGAAACTGTGAGAACTTTATCAGGCACTCTGATACATCACTCTTTATCTCACGCTTTAATAAGACTGTACATTTTGTGCATTTCATTACCAAGTCAAACAAGGTACTTATCAAAGTCGACCACCATGGATGATGTTTTTCTTTTAAAAATAAAAATAAAAAATAAAAAATTTTAAAAAAAAAAGGAAAAAAAAGAAAATTTTAAAAAAAACTTTAAAAAAAAAAAAAAGCAAAAAAAAAAAGCGCATACACCTCACATGTAGCGGAAAAACGCACAAAAACAAAAAACCAAATCCTTTTCTCCTATTTGAACAGCAATGAAAAAAAGCTTAAGGCAAGATGCTGAACACAAAAATCCAATAGTTGATCTGGACTGATCTTTGTTCAGCTCTGGTGTTTGTTGGCATTTACCAGTTCCATCAGTAATCATCAAGAAGACTAGTGTTTTTTCCCCCCGATAGTTGGCTCTCTGTCTCAGGCGTCTTTTACTACAGGTCATGAGAATCCATGACTTCCTCTCCACACCTCCTGAGTCTGCTCGGAGTCGCCGTCTCCTTCCATGCTTTTTTACGCTGGCAGGCTCAGCTTCTTGCCTTTCAACACTGAGGGATATAAAGTTAGACAGTCATCAGGTGAGAGCCATCTTTATTCCTGCAGCCACACGTTATTTATTCCACTATGCACTGACACTACACATGTAAGATCACTTAAAAGTGGACCATTCCTCAGTCTGTGTTCCCTCTTTGTGGCTCAAAGGCTTTGGGAAAGCTGTCTTTTAAAGATGAACCGATCACTAATGCTACAAATTAAACATTAATTTTAAAAGGAATCATTTTCATTTCCAGCAACTCTCTCTTTTGCATTCAAACAGTGTGACGTTACCTGATACAAGCTTTCATGTTAAAAAGGTTAATTGATCATTAGAAAAATCCTTTAAACAGCAAACAGAAAGATGTGTGAGCCCCCATTGTGCGGGAGCAAAAGGACAAGTACATCCAAGTGTGTAGTTTTGCGCAGCCGTCACATTTGATGAATACAAGCGTGAGTTTTCAGGAAAAGCCAGAGATTTTCTGGGTGACGTCAAGCTTGTTCACAGCAGTTAAGAACGCCCTCTGGCTCTTTTGAGTTAAACTGTTCCAGGAACTATGTCCCCCGAGCAGAGAATAAAAGTTCCTCTGACGTGTTGATGAATGAAAAACACATATTTCTCTTGTTCAATCCACTTGCTAATCATTTTTTATATGGATGCCTTAAATGAGAGCCCTGGTTTATTTCTGGGAAAGGACACAAACCCAGGGGGTCACAAGCTATGGGACGAGCCTGATTAAATGAGATTGGGATTGCGTCAGGAAAGGCATCCAATGTGCCAAATCAAACATGCGGATCCATCAGCTGTGATGACCTTTTAAAAAGGTCAAAAATAAGGGAGCAACTGAAAGTTCCAGATGAGGATGATAAAAAAAATCATCCAAAGTTGCCCCAATCAACAAGCTACAACTAACAACCAACAAAATGAGATCCATTTAAAAAAGGAACTTAAAAAATATCAACTGAGTTGAGTTAAAATGTAACAAACTTACAAAAAACATCAAATTTGAGTTTTAAAGATCTCTGTAGTGACAAACGAGTGTCTCCACAGATGCAGCAGTTTTCTCTAATAACGCTGTTTAAACAGTGAATTGGTGTTAATGGCTCTGAAAGCCCTTTGACAGACTGGCGAGCTGCTCGGGCTGTATCCTGCCTTTTGATTTGTGCCAGCTGGGATTTGCTCCAGCCACCCCCATGACCCTGAATTAGATAAGCCGAAGGAAATGCATGGGTGGGTTTTCAAAGCACTATAATTTGGCTTTGTAAAATAGAAAGAATATTAAATAATAATAAAATACAAGTTCAGTTGACGCTAACAACCATCAAACCAGCTGGGAATTTCCAAATCATTGCACAACATCTCCTTTATGCCTTTCCCGGGACACTCGATTTACAGTAAGATAAGGAGGGAATTTTGTCTTAAACAGCCATAACTTTGGAGAATTTTCTTTCAGGAAACTTGCGCTGCTGAAACGTCAGATTAGCGTAGCCTGAACTCTAGGATGAGGGTTTTCCAGGGAACAAGACACTGGATGTTTACACTCATCCCTTTCATCAAATTTAAGGAATGATTTCAGGGCCAGCGAGGGCACGAAGAGCAACTACATCAACTAAAGTGTCCCCACATATTTCACGTCTATATAAATAATAACAAATTAGCCAATATCTGAATAATATCGATGCTTAAACCCACCTTTGGTGACATAAAGATAGAAGAAGTCGCAGTAGAGGACAGTCTGGACCACCCCAGCCACTATGGCAATCATGTCAAAGAAGCCCTCAAAGTAGAAACGCCAGATCCAGTTGAAGAGGTAAAGGGCCCGATACAGCCCCAGGCAGAACAGGTAGTGGGTGGTGATCGTCTCAGCCTCCCCGGTCTTGCTGATCATGAAGAGCTGAGGCAGAATTGCCACAGACTCCAGGTAGATGGAGAACGTCCACAGGATCTGCAGAAGACATTTACATATTCAGGAACACAATTTTACATTTACTCCCAAAATGTCAGGTTTGGAATAGATCATGTGCCTCACAATTTGACTGCGATACAGCAGTTTGAACTCACCTCCAGGGGAGAGAAGTCATGGTTAATGAGAACAGAAAGACCCCCGACAGGAACCACCAGGAACTCCACTCTGAAACTGTCGTGGTTTCCATCGTAGGTGGCCCTGAACTTCGCGTAGATTAGGTATACGGTGGCATATGCGCAACCGATGTAGATCAGCTGGTAAACAGCAAAGAACAGCCTGTCACTGGAGTGTTCTGGGAGAAATGGTGAAACCTATGTGAGGGTCAGGGCTGTGTGGTTGGCGGTGTCTTACCTTCATGCATGTGTTATACAGGGAGATGAAAGAGGTGAACAGATCCAAGTAACGTGTGGTGAACACAAGAGCAAACAGAATTTGGCTCTTTCCAGAGATGCCTTTAAGAAAAATATCAAGCAGAAACACAGTTTAGGCTGACATATACCTCAGCAGTTCACACAAAGCTTCACAAACAGCCTGGGCAAAACAAATCATGTTTTTTCTTTATTGAACAGTGACATCTGCTGGAAAAAAGATGAAACTCCGAAGTCTCAAGAGTTCAAAAAACAAGACCGTTTCTTTTCGTTTGGATTCATTTTAAAGGGTTAATGGAATAATGAGTGATGTCAGCCTGTCCTGATTTGCCCATAGGACAGTTTTTCCCAAGTATTCCAAATACATGGAGATTAGATTTATTTATTTTTTTTAAGTGGCTGTGAATTGTTCATATCTGTGAGCATGAGTAAAACTGTTATCAGACTTCATGTCCTGTCCAAAGTGTACCCTGTATCTTCCCATGATACATGGTACACATGATGCAAGAACATGATGCACCACCTCAAAACCACAATCAGGTCCTAATTCTCCAGGAATCTCAACTAGTGTTTGCTCGACATTCTTCCTGATAAACATCGGGGGTTTTCAGCAAGTGCCATCTTCACTCTCTGTGGCATGTTTGAGTTTGGCGTGTTTGGTGTGTCTTTTTGGAATCGATAACAATCTTTCCTGAACAACGTCAAATGTTTTGATCCATGTTCTTTATATTCTTAACTGATATCACACTTTTTAAGGGTATTTTGGGTCGGTCATCGTGTGCCCTGATTTACTGGTGGCAGTGGTAAGAGACAGGCAACGTGGGGAAATAAATAAAAATAAATAAATAATAGGAGACACTCTTTATAAACAGACGTGTTTTTTCAACCAGTTTCTACCAAGCAGACAATATTCAAAATTATTGGTCATTAAAATCAATGACCTCAGATCAGAGGATGTTATATGTTAAGAGTGTATATTCAGAAAAAAAGCTAATTTTTTGTATGTTCATTGTATGTTGATGTCAGGCTGAGTGCATATTCATTGTCTTTCAATTTTAATGACAGACCAGTTCAATTAACAGCCTCTCAGATTCACTTTGAGTAATCTCTTCCTCAACACAAGTTAGATTTTCCATTGGTTTCGTTTTATTGGGGATCTCCATAAGGAGTCGTGTAAGTGACTGTTAAGACCTATACGTTTTAATAAATCAATCAATATTTTAAACTTCCAGTACCTCCAGATTTAACACAAAGCTACATATTCTTCAGGTTTTAGCTTTTCACCCAAAACGCATGCGTCAACTTTTTTAATCAATCACAAATCTTTATCGAAAGTGGGACACAAAACCGCCCCCTTCTATGACTTATCTAGGACTTTAGATAATCATAGACTGCATCACTGCTGCCTATGTTGTTAGTTATTATTATTAATGCCTAAATTTTTATGTGAGTCTATAAGCATAAAATGCATTTTTAAATAAGTAAAACTTTGTACAAACTCTTTTTAGCAGGTATCTACTTCCGTAGCGCTTTCTAGAACGCCACGTCAGAAGCCAGACCCAAAAAATCGAGCCCCTCACACTTAAACAGTCAAACTATCCGAGCAGGAGTAAATGGATGTGAGGTGGAGGGGGTGGTGCTGAAACGTAGAAGCAGAAACCGCAAAAAGTTATTCTAAATATATTTGTTAAAGGTTCCATTAATGTGCTTAATTGTCCAGTAAGCAGTAGGAACCCAACTGACCGCACTCAATCCACAGATCGGAGAACGATTAACGTACAAAAGGAATTCCTTCAAAGTCAACCGTTACTTTGATGTGTCTGCGTTATATTTTCCACCAACTTTAATATTTCACTGTCTAACTGCAGCAAACTTAGTAGTAGCTTGTGATGGAGATGCAGGCAGCACTTTTTAGCTGCCATCATCAGTTAGCCCATTCAGCAGCTATTAGCCGCTGCTTCAAATGAATGAAGAGGAAACGTTAGCATTGCTAGGTAGGTAGCTTAGAGGTTGCTGCCTTAAAAGATCAGATTTTTTTTATCGATTAACACAAGTGAAACGGAACTAGTGACATTAGAAAACCTCACTGTAGCATTTATATTAAAGCTATATCCAGTGCTCACCTGCACACGACCTGCTTTTCCATATTTTGAGTAGCAGGATGATGATAGCAGCCAGATGAGAAAGATCTCCTGTGAGCCTGAAGATGTTCATAGCTGCAAAAAGAAAAATAACAGAGACACAGCTGAGAAGCTAACGTGGACTTTGAAACGGGTCACGCTTGATCCTGCCTGGTGTGAAAGATTCTTCTGCTCAACTTGGAGGCACAACACACCGGGATTCACGGGCTTGAAAATATGGCGAGAGTGCAGGTCGACGTGGAAGGGGGCGGGACAAAACACATAGACAGATTTGCATTGGACCAGAGAATGAGTGACAGCAGGAGAGGACCCGCCCACAACAAGCACGACGCTGAGAACATGAGCCCTGGTTGAATGAGGAGGGTCATCACAGACTTGTAAACCCCATAAACCTAATAACTGGCTGTGCCATCCTTGGCAGCAAGAACTGGCTGTTGATATGATTTTCTTTTTATGAAATGCTCTCATCAAAATGTTTTTTCTGGCATATGTAAGACCAGGCTTTGTGATCTTTTTAGTCATCAGTGGTTTTCTCCTCCCATGGAGGCCATTTTTGCCTGGTCTCTTTCCTATTGTTGAAGCATGAACTCTGACCTTAACTGAGCCAAATGAAGCCTTCGGTTCCTTAGATGTCATTCCGGATTCTTTTGTAACCTTGTGAATTAGTCCTCAATGCTCTTTTGGAGTAATTTTGGCTCACAGGGCACTCCTGGTAAGCTCACCAGTGTTCCAAGTTTTCTCCATTTGTTAATAACGGTCCTCACCGGGTGGTTCACTGGAGCCCCAAAGCCTCAGAAACGTGTTTTTATTTTTTAACTCTTTCCAGACTGATAGATGTCTATGACTGTTCCTCACCTGTTCTTAAATTTCTTTAGATTGGGGCATGATGTGCTGGCTTTTTCGGATATTTCTACCCCACTTTACTGTGCCAGATATGTATTTCTTGAGTCAGCAGGTCTGGCAATTGTCAGGCCAAAAATATGGTTAATCACAGTTAAGTAATGATTTACAAGAGGGTGAAGGGAAGTGGCATGAGTGTCTGGCAGTACTTGCTGTCAAATTGGTCACAACCTCATAATTAGGTTAGCGGGGCAATTTTTTAGGCAGGGCTGAGTAGGTTTGGATAATAGATAAATGAAAAGAATCATTTAAAAACGTAATTCTGTTTTTACTGAGGTTGTGTTTGATTATTATGAAACGTGAAATGTGACAAATATGCAAAAAAGCTAAGAAGTCAGGAATGTGGTAAATCCTCTTTCAAGGCAGTGTAGATGCATAAATAACAAAATGTGGGGAAAATAAAATCAGCGAAAACAAAATTCATAGAATTTACTCTCTTGTGTGAGCACGATTGCGTCATACATATTTCTCCAAAACTACACATTCAGCTTTATTGACTTGCACTGAGTTATTTACTTTCCGCATAACCTTGCATGATATTATTACTGCCGGAGTCCTGTCACCAAATCTCTACACATTCTCAATAATTCAAAGTTATTGTTCTACCGTTCCTAGATTGCGCCATCATGTGTGCACAGCATGAGTTGACATTTGTGTCTACACGCAAAAATGTTGCCCATGTTGGGTAATAAGGGGTGATGGGGTTATTTGTGATTCCCCATCGCCAGTGACACCAAACCTCGCAATCCTTCATTTAAGAGCGTGAAATCAATTAAATGTACTTACATTTTAAACAGTAAATACTAGTAGTACAGTAGTTCATAATATCATGTTACCATAAATACAATAAACGCTTTGAATATATACAAATCCATTAATTGTACTGTAGAGCTGCACAATACAGGAAAATAAGAAGGAACTAGTAGACTTGAGGAAGTTCAGTCTACCACTTCCCATGTTGTCAGCCATTTAAAAAAAAACGGCTGATACAAGGAATCATGAGATCATTCAGTGTCTTTCAAGCCGCAGACATGGACCGGTTGTTTTGGCTGTCTCTCCTGCTCGCCCACCTGTTGGTCACAGGTAAGATCATTTTCATATCTTTGCCGTCTGTAAATAATTCCTCTAGGAAATATATGTAAAAGGCTGGGTGTGATTCATATTGATTCTCTTTTGCCTGTTTATTGCAGCTGGCAAGGATACATGTCATGTCAACATATCACAGTCAAACAACATAATCTGGAAGAAAATAGGGGAAGAAGCTGTTTTCAATTGTACAGTTATTTCCAAGTGTTCAGTAGAATTTTACTGGTTCAAAGAGAATGTCTCTCTACCGCTTCATATGAGTAAAAAGTACCAAGGAGAAGCGTCTTTTCAAATTAATTCACTTAAAGCGAGTGACAGCGGGATGTACTTCTGTGCCGCAGCAACTCAGAATGGGTGCTGCACACCGTTTGTAGGGGAGGGAGCAACTCTTGTAGTGAGAGGTAAGGACTGTTTAGAGAGAAAACTCATTTTACAGTCATTAAAATGAAGACGACGCCTTCACTTTCTTTCTTTTTTTTAGAAAATACTAAAACAGTGATGGGAAAAATCGTGTTGGTATCATTTGTCCTCTTGGCCGTCTACAGCTTGACTATAGTGACGCTCATCATTCTAAAGAAGGTGAATCACAGACACATTTATTCTAATGTGATCTATTGTACAAGCCGGACTGAAAGTCAGTTTGTGCTCACGTGAAATTAACCTTTCTCTTTCTGTTCTAGTATGGCTGCAATATGAACATCTGCAGAAAGACATCCAAAAACGACAAGGTCTCTCTCTTCTGTTTTAACTCATGTTTGATGAATCCATTGTTTTCAAAATAGGGAAAAGCCCACAGATGCAAAAAAAAAAAAAAAAAAAAAAAAAAAAAAAAAAAAAAAAGAGGAACAGGAACGAACTAAACCCTCTGTAAATACCAAGGCAGAAAAAAAAATCCTAACCCCCCCTCCAAAAAAAGGGCTTTATAATAAATTTTTACTCATCTTTTCCCTTATAGAAAAACGCAAATAAAAAAGTACAGTTCCAGGACGTGCTGAAAGAAATGCACAAGAAGAGAAACATGGAGAAAAACAATCAAACAGCAAGCAGAAGCTCTTCTGAAGTTGAGGTAAATGTTGTTGTTGCAGCATGTTGAGGTTAGATTTAGTCAAATAGACAGATTGTGTAACTTCTGCCGCAGGATGTCTGTACAAAATTCAATTTAACGGTTTTTGACCAAGTTTTAATATCGTTTCAGCCCTCGAGCAACGACCTGCAGCATTCTTCTGATGACATCTATCAAAATGTCTAAGCTTCATTCAAGGAATTGATGAATTCAGACCTCCATCATCTTGACGGAAAGGAAATTGTAAAGCCATTAAACACCAGCTGGATGATGCTGTTGAGTCTGAGGAAACAAGCAAGTCTGCAAAGGATGCAAGTCATTTGTGCTTCTAATCTTTTCTCATGAAATGAGACATAAAAACTACAAAACCAGCGTGGACCAGGCGACTATTTCCTCTCTAAACGTCAAGGCTCTTACACAACCCGCCTCTCACAAAGCATTCGAAGTTGTGTTGGTCTCCACCGCGCTTCCACAGCTTCCTTGTTGCTCATAACAACTTTTTCCAAGGATTTTATTTTCAGGACTTTCTGCAACACAAAAGGGGGATAATTAGACGATCCACATTAGAGGAATTACATCTGAATTTCACTTCTACAAAAAGCAAAATGTTACACCTTTTATTGCACGAATCATTAATCACGACGATTACTGGCAGTGAACTGACATGAAATGATAAAGCCATTTCTCATTAAAGGGGTCATGGCACTTTTTTGATAGCGCTTAATGTTTGTTACATTATTGACCAAGAATTTCTTTAAAACATTCTTAAAATCTAATCAAAAACATAAATGTACCACGGATAGATTTTTTTTACCATTTTTAATTAGAAACAACACATTTATAGAATCTGATACCAAAACATAGAACAAGATACAGCACATGTCTGTATGTCAAATACAGCTTATGTTATCATAGGAAAAGAGAGGGCCTTGTTTCTCTTTAGAGAAATCACAGTAAACTTATTAGAAATTCACATTAAGGCAGTGTTTAGCATTCTGAGCCAGTTGTGAAGCATATCCCATCCCCTAAATCTCAATACATTTTACATTATAATGTCCATTCATACACTGGATTATAATCCTTAGATTAGTTTTCACCATTTACAGCCTTTATTCAAAGTCTGCATAAACTGCCCCGTTTGGGCTTCTCTCTACTGTAAACTATCAAATACAGGTGATGCGAGCCACTTGAATCATGTTTTGTTTTTTTAATCTGCATGGAGGTTATTAACCATCAGGTTTGTGACACTAACTGTCTTTTTCATCGGGTAAAATAAGGCATTTCATTAACTGGCAAAATGAAATTTTTTGTTCTTGATGAATACCTTTCATTGATCATCACTGTTGATGCCAGAGCTTGTGAGACCTGAGTTTAAGTGACAATAATTTCTGATGTTATGTGGCCACTTTATGCGTCTGCATCTGTGAAAAGCTAAATGGAGTGTTTTTACCTTTCTCTCCCTCTCCATTATATAGATGATATATAAAAGCATCATAAACAGACAAAAAAAATGAAACAAAATATTTTTTGTGTACAAAATGATCAAAAAAATCAAAGTCGACACTTAAATGATAGTCTTCAAGAAATAACCACATGACAAGTTTTTTGTTCCAGAGATGCGAAGCTGTTAACTAAATACTTCTCTTCAAGTAGATGCTTGAGTTTGTGTTTCAGTTGACTCTTTAAGGATCGAGAATGTCTCGACTATTTGTTCTCATTGCTAAAGCAGCGATTTAACATCCAACTTCAATGTTTGCATGAGTAAAGTTCCTTTAGTTAAGTTCATTGTTTACTCAGAACCTTTTGGCCTTCCGAACATCCACCTTATAATGTAGGATCCTGATAAGTGTAGCTGAACAGTTGGTGGGATTCTGTCATAAAAATATATCTCACAAACTAATTATAAACTAACAAACTATTATAATGCTGAATTTGTGCCCCACCCAACCCAACAACCAGTAAATGTTTAAGAATGGGAAGTAAAATACCACTTTTAAATCAAAGTAAGTGGGATAAAGTCTAGATATATTTGCACCCAGATGAAAATTGCCATTTAAAACATTTACTTTTTTCCACTTCAAATATTTAAAGCCCCTTGATTTGTTTGATTTTAAGGTACTTGATGATTTACAGTTGTTCCCTGTTAAAATTTCAATATATTCACTCATTTAAATATACAAAAATACTCATTTTAAATTATTCATTTACAGATCCCAACTACAGGCAATTAAGCCAGGTTCTTTGAATACCGAGAATACTGATATTAGCCATCAATATACTTTGTGTCAACTGTGTGACTGTTGCGAATGGAAAACGGCCTCCAAGCCAGGACTTGCAGAGCAGCGACACACATGGGCACCAAGCAAACCAAGTAGAACATGGCTCTGTGGAGGCTCTCCAAGGCACTAAAAACAAGGACAAACAAGTGTTGGTGTAGTTACATTTATTTACAGCTGAATCATCCTGACTGTCACAATGCTAATTACGGAAACTGCAAAAGCATGCCTGTGCATGTTGACTGTGACTCGTTTAAATGGTGTAAAGAGGAATCAGTGGACGTACAAAACCATAAAGATCTAAGATATTTCAAGAGTCAGTTTATGTGCAAGGAATCGCTGTGAGCCAAAAGCACTCTTCAGATTCCTCTAAACAGTTTATGACAAGGTCTTGGCTCTGAACGATGTCAATGAGAAACACTATCCCTAATATGGCCAATCATGCTCATGGCTATGAGCACAATTTAACCACCCACTGGTTAAATGTTATGTTTACGAGGGTTGCCACTTAGAAGAAAGGTGGTCTAAAGGGAGCTTATTTTTATTTTCACGCAGTGGATCAAGTGAGGGCCTGCGATAAGATATAACAATTAATTGAAACTGTGACACATACAAATCCACTGTAGGAGAGCCCAAGAAAAAAAAAAAAACATTGTAGATGGAAAACAAATGTTTCAGTGGTTCAGATTTTAGAAAATTATATAAACAGTGACCTTAGAAAAAAAAAAGGCCAAATCAGAGAGGCTGTCTCTTGAAACTGGTGTTTATTCAGTTGACTATAAAGTCGATTTTCTGCATAATAAAACTAAATAGCAACCATAGAAAAAAATGTTGTTCTCCTTCAAATTAAATGTGCCTCTATTTAGATTATCTGAAATGATAAGGGATCACAGTGGTGGATTTTTGGTGGTTTATTTTACTACTTTACAGTTTTAACTTTTTAGATTAGCTTCTTATTCTGCATTTGTTTAAAATCTAAAACACACTTTAAATCCATCAGTGTCATTACAGTTTATTGGTCAAAGTTAGATTCTTGTTACATGGTGCTATTGTTTTATACAGGATGGATTATCTACATTTCAATAGAAAAACGGGTTATTTATACTATAATGGGATAAACGGCCCCAGGCTTAAAGCTGAATAGTAACTGAACGCTTTGGAAAACGTACTACATTAAACATGGCTATCAGCAGCTGCAGCAACTAAGGCCCTCTTATTTTTTCCTCAGGTTTTTAGTGCTTACTGTACAGCAAGTTATGACATAAAGTATTAACAGACAGACTTAGGACACATGTCATAGATTTATGGGTATAATCTTAAAACCAGCTCCAAAAACATTTGGGCCCCTTAAGTCAACAAGTAGCAAGAAACTCTCTGTACCTCGGATCTGAATCCTTTGTGACATCCTTCAGCTGTTCATACCCAAAGTGGTTCAGGATATTTAACACTATCATAGGAGCCAGAGACTGAGCTGGCTTTGTGAACAGTGCATTTGTTCCAAACACCATGGAAGAGAGAGGGGAACTACAGGAGGCGAGGAAGAGAAGAAAACGCATCATCACACATTAAATCATAAACTTGTTTCATTGCGTGTTAGTACACAGATTTGTGAGTGCTTAAATGAAATAATGTTGCATATTTTCCTAGTTTATGTAGTAAAATCATGAGGTTTTAAAACAATGCTGTAGCAGCCAGAGTTAATGAAGTGGTTTATATTTGAATCTGAGGAATGACTGAATTAGTCATTTGTGCTGACGTTCATATTTATAGTCATGATGATAGTGACACAAGTCAAGGGGATGGCAGGGTTGGTCTGCAGGCCCACCAGTTTGGTCCATCTCTGAATAAATACTAAATAAATACTAATAATATTCCCATCAAACTCAGCTGTTCTTTCTTACATATAACTGACAGAAATAGTGCACAAGGTAAATGTCTCGGCTGATTAAAATTTTGGCTTTGTCGGTATGACATAAAGGACAGTGGTGTCCAAACTGTCGACTGTGTTTCTTACCTGCGCTTGTATTTCTGCAGGTCAGTGTCAATAATATCAGCCAAAGGCAACCCAAAAAGACTGAAGGAGGCCTGAATTATAACCCTGTATAAAACATAGAAACCGAAAAGAAATAAAATCAATGCAGTATAGTAAAAGAAAAAAATCTTTTTACATATCAAGACAAACAAGCCCAGCAGTAACTTCTTACATGTTAATGGTGAGGAAAAATGCCATGAAATAGTAGTGCTGAGGACCAATTGCTAGCATGACAGCTGCCATTCCAGCCTCCACATAGAAGATGAAGAGGATGATCCTGTAGTAGCCATGCCTATGCAGCAGACTCTGAGAGCTCAGCACTAAAAGCTAAAATGAGGACAGTCAGGAACAAGACATTGGGTTAGGCAAAGCAGATGATTAAAAAGCTGCAAGTATTTTAAAACCCTTTCCTTTTCGGTGCTTTCAGGTGTTTATTTAGACCTCTGACATTTGAGCAAGGTGGAGAGTTGGCAGCCGAATAGCTTTATTTATGAACTATGTGGTAAACGAATATAAATAAATGGTTTTAAGTAGTTATTGCAAATATTTCTGCCCAAAATACTACAAAAACTGTCCATTTAACATTGTCTATATCCCCTGTATTTCAACCTTGTTCCAAATTGAGAACTGAAAACTGGCACCACCTGAGTACGGATTTCAAATTTTCCAAGCTTACCAATTCCTTTATCAGTGCAGTCAGCAGTAAATATCAACTGAAAATGATCTTTGTACCTCACTGTTCAGGACCTGTGACTGTAATGGACTAAAGCAATCAGTGTGGTATTTTAAAGCATTTATTCTAATCTTTATGGGGAAAAAAACTAAAACACTAACACTGTGGGACGATACCTGTGGACAGATGAATGCTGCTCCATACATGATGCTCTTTGCCAATGATGGAAGCACATCTGGAGGAATCAGGTGCTCAGTAAATATCATGGTAAAATTATTAAAGAAGGCCAGCATGAACACCTGGAAGAAGTTCATTAGTACAAATAGCTGAAAGTCCCTGTTGGTCAGGATTTGCCATGTCAACGTTTTCAACGTGGAGAAGGAGCATGCCAATGGATGCGAAGTCTGATCAACAGACGCGGGAGCATCTGATTGAGATGCTTTATTGTCAAAGCGGCTCTCGCTGTGGAAGCCTGTGTAGAGCATGCAGCCACAGCTCAGGATAGCAATCAGCACAGCGAATGCCTGAAAGGCCAAGAAGTCTTCCATGTTGTTGGAAACCACACCACAGAAGAGGACACTGGATGAGCCAATGAGAGAAGCCACCTGGGAAATAAATAAGAAGGGATATGAAAAGAATGACGTGCTTAGGTACATAGAGAGAATAGACGTCAGGATGAAGGGCCTACCTGGTTGTACTTTATGAGTCTAAGTCTGTTCTGATGATGGCTGGAAATCTCTGCAAACAAGGCACATTGTGCCAACAGCACAAAAGTTAGCATGCCATCGAAAGCACACAGCGCTACTGTCAAGTGTAAACCACTCAACCAGTCGCCAGGGGCGTAGGAACGCCATGGGAACCAGGCTAAAAGAAAAGCTAGCGAGTAGAGGGGAGCGCCGTACAGGATGGAGAGACGTCGCTGAGAGCAGCAGGGTACCCTGGAGTTATCTTGCAGGTAACCAAAGAGAGGGTCATTAACTGCATTCCACACCATGTACACCACCTGTGGATAGGAAGCATGTAAAAGTGTTAATAAAAACAACAACAAGGAAATCTGTCAGAAATTAAAAAAAAGAAGAAGTAAACTTTAAAATAAATAAATAACACAGGAACTTTACTGCCATTTAATTGTTTATCCATTGGTTAATCACTTATGAACTTGTATTATGTATGACAATGTTGGAGGTTTTTATCATCAGGAAAAGCTGTAAAACTTATGAAAAAAAGAGTTAAGCCCAAAACCTATGCCGTTCTTTGCATTTTCCACATCTATCCCTTGGTCCATATCAGTCTTTACCAAGCCGATCCTTGTCTTTGTGACTCCTGCTAGTCCTCCTTTTTCATTATTCCACCCATTTTGTGCAACATATCAGTACCACTGGGCGCAAAACTGCCTCACAGCATAATGCTACCACCACCATGTCCAAAGCTGATGGAGCATTCTTAAGATTGAAAGCCTCAACTTTACTTCTCAAAAATTCCTTGCCACTGTGTCCAAATAACTCCATTTTTTTGCCTTGTTTGACCAGGTTAGGATTAAATCTTTTTTTTTGGCTTGTCCATGTGAGCAGCTGCAGATTTCAGTCTAACTTGAAGATGCAGACTTTGGGGGAGGGGCTTTCTATCTCGGTTGACACACTTGCAGTCCATGGCGATGTAAAACTCACTTCACTCTGGACGGTGACGCTGGTGCTCCAGCAGTTTCCAGTTCACAGTAGCCTTCAGCTTTGGTGGTTTTCGAGCTTTTCCTGAACATCATAACCCATTTCCTATCATCTGAGAGTGACAGTTGGGGTGTTCTTCTAGACCTCTGCAAATTGCATTTGAATAACTTGTTTAAACTGATGATCTTGGAATTTGCATTTGTTTAGAAATGTTTCCAAGAGACTTCCCATCCTGTGTAAATCAGCAGTTTTCCTGCTTAAATATTCACTCAGCTCTCTGGACTTTCCCATTGTTCTAGGTATTTGTTATTCCACTGAGTGCCATCAAGCAAATCCTTTTTATAGTGTTAGAGAGAAACTACAATTACTATTCAATCATAATCAGTAATCGTTAGGTTACTAAAAGAAGTCATTCCTGGGCATGCATGTTAGACATCGACATCGGCTTATATTAGCCCTCTTGACTGCAACTGAATCACTTCACAGATACTGAAGTGATTTTATGAAGATAGAAATTCCATAGAAATTCTTATGGGTAATCTTTTCTTTTTGATGCTTTGAAGAATTCAGAAGCCAGTTGTTTTTTTTATTTTAAGCAACCGGCTCTTTAAATTGTACTCTACAACTGTGCAACTCACAGAGTATTGGTCAAGAAGGACAGGTCAACATACTCACTTGTGATTGGTGAAACGCTCCTTCGGATATCTTGTACCTATTCAGGAAGAGTTTCACATAGTAGAAGCTGAACATATTGTTTATCATGCTAGACCCCAGAGTGGTCATGGCATAAGCCAGCGCTGCAGGGTTCACCCCAAAGTTTATCAGGTGTCGGAAGACATTCATTGTTCCGGTCTGGAAACGCTCGAGACAGGTTTCACCTTCACGCCCACGAGAGCTTAACCAAGTTAAATGTGTCTTTAAACGAGCAAGGAGCGAGGAGAAGTTGTTGTCACCTGCAGCACCGGTTTTACAACGCTACTGCTGTTTAGCATTGCTAACGATACTGCTGTAAGAATAGCAAAATTCCACAGGGCAAAAAAAAAAAAAAAAAGAGTCTGGTAATGAGACGGATATTGTTCCTGTTCACTAATTCCCATGAATGTACACTTGTTAGGAAGTAACACTTGCTAAATATTTACCCAAGCATTGTAAAAAACATAAAATCTACCCCAACGAAGCTGTTTTAGAGTCACCAACGGGCGGGACTTCAGGATAAGAAACACGATCTGATTGGGCATAAAAAGTTCCTTCCTTATATTTACTGCTTCGTAATTCGTCAATACAAATCTCCGTCAGGCAACGTGGGACGTTACGACAGTGAAACCTGATTTTAAAATATTTAACTGTCATTCCTTATTGTAACTTTATTTAACTGTGCATAAGGATAAAAAACAAGTAAAATGTGTTCAGTGCGTTTTTTAATTAATCGATTAAATTTCGTATATGCTCTTTCTGCCTCCTGCCGGATGCTGGGGTGATTTGCCACGTTGCTGTAGACAACAGACTTTAAAGCCTCTCACACACCGGGGACGATGTGAGTTACGTTTGACCACTCGAGGCGGTGGACTGCGGTCAGCTTCTAGCCGTCAAACTCGAGTGTGTGGGGCTTCTGTCGGGTGGAGTTTTGGGTCACCCCTCGGTTTGAAAATGCTAACCGACATGATTTTGGAGGAAGAATTTGAGAAGAATGGAGAGTCTTGGTACAACCAGCAAGAGCTCGAACACGGTAAGAGCCGCTCAGCCCTGAGGTCGCACCCTAACTCTGACTGTGTCTGTGTGGGCAGGTTGTGTTACTCCAGTTTTATGTTTTATTTTAAATGAGTAAATTAATGAGCGTTACTGCTACTGTCTGCCTATTGTAGCTATTTTTTTTAGTTAAGTTTCAGTTAGTCTCCAGAGTGAGTTTGCTTATTAAAGTTGAGTTTTTATTTAGTTATGCTATTTTTATGCTAGGTTAAGTGTTAAATTAGTTGGTAGAGGTAATATTTAACACATCCAGAATAGGTATTAGTAATGTAAACACAACTCATTGTAAAACTGACTCACAGCCATGAGGATGTCTCAATAAACTTCTGCATCAGGGCCTCCTCATGCTTGTTGATCACTTCAAATTGACCAACACTAACACTAAACCTAAAACCTAAAACACTAGTTTTAGGTTTGTTCAAAAATATACTTGAAATAATTTTACTATTAGCTGAAGTGTTATCACTAATGTTAGTTGTAAGAGCCTTAGGAAAAACAGTGAGAAAAGCCCCTAAATAAGAGCTCACAGATTAAATTGAAATTGAAGTCCTTGTGGCACAGACCCACAATAGGCATGCAATCCACATGAGGTCTCCTACACAGCCAGGATTTCCTGAGGCTGTCACCTCTGTGTTTATTGTTTTCAGACTAACATGACCCCTGTCTGTGCTTCTAAGCGAGCCACACAGATCATCTAACCAATATCACTGTGAATAAGAAGGAGTAAGGAAGAGGAAGCTGTGACACTGAACATAATTATGTGTGTGGTGTGGCTGATCTGTGAATGTGTTGTTTACATTGTTTGCATTGTTATATGAATGCAACCAGAGTTAGGTTATAATTTAGTGATGTGAAATGGCCAGATAGTTGAAAATAGATGACTGACCAACCAATTAAAGTTTATTTGTAATTTATATCCTAAAATAAAGTAGATTTTCCTTTTGGGATGAGGAAAATCATGCTGCCCATCTTACAAGTATATTTTATCACATCCATCCATCTGTCCAGTCTCTTATGCTTGTTCAATTTCAGGGGTTGCACAGGGCAGAGGCACACCCTGGACAGGTCTCCAGTCTATCCCAGGGCTAAAAAAAACAACAACTACTACTAACTGAGAATTGTTAATCATTTAGTATCATGATTGAATAGATGAACTTGTAGGAAAAATTTGCTGCCTTCACTGGCAGCAGGCGGGAAGAATGACTTCCTGTAGCATTCCTCAGTGGGCATGGATAACAACAAAAATGCTTAGCATTTACACGAAGAGATTTAGGAAGAAATGTATGCCACTTCATCTCCTCCACTAACTTTATGGGCTTCAGAGTAGGATTTAAGATTATTAGGTAGTTCACTTGTTTATTTTACGTTTGTTCCCCACAAAACGTTACTTTATAATCCTGCTGGTGTACGCACTGTTAGTTCTGATTGCACACGCTTAACCTAGAAGATGTAGAAATAAAAGTATGTATGTAAAACGTGTGCAGTGAACACAAAAACGTGTCAAAAGTACATGAGCGTTGCACAAAAATGGAAAGGATAAATGTCCTTTGAGTAGCTACTTTTTAAATTTATACTTTGAGTACACTTCAGCCTCTGTGCTTTTTTTGCTTTTACGTAAGTAAAGAGGTTGCATCAGTACTTCAGCTTCTGCCAGGCCCTTTTCAAACATGAAAAATGTGTTAATTTTGCCATCTCTGTTAGTGACATTTAAAGTTTATCTTGGCTTGGTTTAATTGCATTTTTATTCCCTGCACTTAGTAGTCCCACAAAAGACCAGCTTCACATGGCTGGCCAAGATCCAGTACTCATGAGAATTTAGTAGGGGAAAGGGGTCACAAGGCATGCCTTAGATTCCTCGGTGAGGGACAATGAGTTGTTGTTGTGGGTGGCACTGGCGCAAGGCTACGCTTACACACTTGCCTAATTCTTTCAGCTGTCTGTATTCGGGCACTGAGTCCATCCCGAAACTTGTGTTTGCGTGTTTTACTTGACTCCTTTTTTTTTTTTCTTCTTTCTTTTTTGTACAGATCTTCATTTGGCAGCAGAGCTGGGGAAAACCCTCCTCGACAGAAACCATGACTTGGAGCAGGCCCTGCAGCAGATGTACTCCACCAACCAGGAGCAGCTGCAGGAAATCGAGGTGATAAATTTTAGGAAGGAACTAATCTGAGTTTTTAAGGCTCAATATGTGCTCCAGAATTTGTCTGTCAGTGTATGCAGATTCTGGTTGATTTTTACGTGAATGAGTCCATGATTAGAGGTCGCTCATTGAGAAAAGTCCATGCTGAGACATGTGAAAAGCTGTCCGACTGGAAAGTCATTGTGAAATTGGCACAGCTGAAAATAGGTTGGAGTAAAAGCTAATCCTACCCAGTCTGATCTAATAAGCCTTTGGCAAGGAGCAGATCATTTGTCTACCTAATTATTTGAAGACTTTCACTGGTTTTCCAGTAACAGAATACCACTGTTTTACTTGGACACTGTTCCTGGTTTTGATTTTGTGTTAGAGTCAATAAAATTTTGTTTTTGTATTCTAAAAATAATAAACATCCAATAGCAGAGAGACTCATATTTTAGTTCTAAGACAGCGCATGCGTAAACTGCTGATGATCTGAGTTGGAGGACACGGCACTTAGAAGGTCAGCACACATAAGAGCCTTAATTTGTTTACGTCTTCGGTGTAAGGATTTCTAGAGGTTGTTTTGGTAATCCCAATACATCTCTTTGACCCACATTGTACTGGCTACCCGCCTTTCCAGTCTCAGAGGTGTGCTTTTGTTTCACGAAACTACAAAAGGTCTGGAGAAATGCTTGCTTGATTTTAAGTTGGGACATGGAAAAATTTAAGGAGTGGTGCTACTCCAACTTGAAATTATTATTATTATTATTTTCCCTCTCTTCTATACCAGTACTTAACCAAGCAAGTGGAGCTGCTGCGTCAGATGAATGACCAGCATGCCAAAGTGTATGAGCAGCTAGACACGGCAGCCAGGGATCTGGAGCAAGGCAATCAGAGGCTGGTGCAGGACAACCGCATGGCCCAACACAAGATCCAAAAGTCAGTCTACCAGTTATTTGTGAATTACCCTTTCAAATTGTGTTTTAAATAATTATCCACCCAGTCAGCTTCCAATAAAAAATATACCACATTAACATGTTGTCGGGTGTTTGGTTTTTTTTGTTTTTGTTTTCCTTCAGTTTAACTGAGACCATCGAAGCGCTTCAGACCCTCATGGAGGACCTGCAGGCCCAAGTCGGGGAACTAAAGACTGCAGAAGCAGAGCGAAATAAGAGAGAGCTGGCAGAGCAGAGGCGCAGCCTTGGAGCACAGAGCGTGTCCTGTCTTAAAGAGCTGTATGACTTGCACCATGACAGGTACTATTTTCATCATCCACATTTAGCAACACAATGCTAATAGCTCATCTTTAGAGGAACTGTTTTCACAGAGGAAATGGTGTGGTAAACTGTACCTAGCATTGTGGATTAAAGACAGTGAGTTGTCTCGGTACTCTTGGAAAAAGCATCAATGAAACATGGCCTCAAATTATCTGGCAACACCAAGAAATATGATTCAGCGTCTTTCTTCCTTGACATGAAAGCAAAGAAGAAAAGGGAAGCTGAAAGCATCTCAACACTGAGAGCTGGGGTCCGTTTTCTCATGCTGTGGTACCTTCAGTACGCTGCTGTCTCATGTCACGTATGCTGACTTGACATCTTCAGGTCACCCAGAGAGCTTACTTTAGCTATAATCCATGAGGGAGGGAAGCTAATCCTCCCCCATTGTCACTGTTTACTTATGCGGCTGCTGCATCTCACGTCACTTATTTGGTGTATTTTGTAGAACTGTCGCCTTTAAAAATTTTGAACGATCTGTCTAGAAATTTATTTAATGGTTTAGGTGTAGTGGACTTTAAATGACATTGAAAAGAATTATGTAATATTAATGCATTAAAAATTACAATAAAGATTCTTCTCAGACTGCTTAGAGACCCAAGTAACCTCTGCCAAGAGGACAGGGAAATTTACTCTCTGCTGCTAATAAAGCTTAAGTGCTCGAAGTGTATGGTAGTAATTCAACTCAGAGCTTCTCTGAACTAGATTTTGAGGACAGTTTTATTGAAAAAGTCAAAATAGTAACGGGAGTTCTGCAGATTCTTAGTCTTTGGGTATTAAATTTTGTTGAGAAATGTAAGGTCATAAAATGTCTTTGTTGTAAAAGGACGTTAAATTAAAAACCTTAGAAGCAAAAATGACTCAGACCTGTCCTAATGTTTAATTAAATTAATATGACAATATCTACTTTGCATTATGAAGTTTTGTTTTTTTGTTTTTTTTTATTATTGTCTTTTCAATATTTTATAATTTCCTACACTATCAAATTGGACCTTTTTAAGAAGAATGAAAAATCACTTTCACCATGATAAACATTTCATTCTCACATTGTAAGAGAGTTTGTTAGTGTCTGAGTCCAACCATGTTAGATCCAGTTCAAAGAATATTTCAGTAACGCTGGCAGCACTTATCACTTCAGGATA